TCAAAAAAAGTTCTCACTTTAAAAGTCAAACCATCAACCCAAAAATATTATGAAAAAACACGGGAAATGGCGTTGAAATCGTGGTAGTAGCACCCCACATTGTACTCACCATATTGTGGCGGCCATTCCCATCAATAACGTCACCTCACTAAGACCTTAAAAATAAGCTAACTCGTAATCGACTTGAAAACCAGATAGTGCATGTCTTTCGTACTAAATTACCCCAAAAAAAAAAAAAAAACTTTAAAAAACCGACTCTCTCTTGAAGACCCATCACGCTCATAGAAATCACTTTCCATTACATCAAATGGGCCATCCCAAAGGGGTGAGTACTATGGCTTCTTTGAGCCCCATGTATACAGATCACCAGGTCTCTTGCTTAGTCTCCAAGAAACATCATTTTTCTTTTTTTATCGAAAATATGTGACATCAAGGCGACACTCGTGTGCTCACAATTAACATGGCATTGAATGTGATGGTAGCCTATGGGGCAATCACTTTCACAAGAAAGGCCTTATTTGAACAAGAATATTGGTATTTACCTTTGTATTAAAAAAAAAAAAGAAATCTATTGACACTCTTTATTCTGCTATTATTTGTTCAAAGAGGCTGAAGAGAATTTGATAGAGAGACAGGTAATTCATTTTGCTTTATTCGTTTGAATAGGCCATATAAAAATTATTATTTAATAGAAGCCTGAGTGTAAATTTTCTCTCTTTCAATAACTCTCTATAATGAAATATGGCAGTTTAAGATTAAAATTTTATTTTATTGACTAATATTTAATACAGGTGTAGGGCACATGTATATCATTAGTATATGTAAAGATTGTAATATATATATAGTAATAAATTGTTGTTCATATATTAATATTAATATATTAATAAATTGTTGTCTATATTTTAATATTAATATATTAATAAATTTTTGTCTATATAAAATATATTTTGACGGTTGAAGTTTCTATAAGACCTAGGCTTTATGAAAACAAAATAAAGCCTCACCTCAAATCTTCGTCTAGAAAGCACATTTGATAACAGAAATCTCCATGATGGATCAAAATCAATTTCCAATACCGATATTAAAATTTGAAACTAAAAAAATAGTACAGATCTTACGGATCTATGAACACTTATTTTAGGGTAAATGGACAGTCTAGATAATTCTTTTCAATATACACAATTTTTAGAGCTTAAAATCCTAATTTTTATTCACAACTAATATATTCAAACTGAGATGATCCATCTAAAGGTTTTTCAATGCTTGAATTGTAATTTTCAATGAATTATCAGGTGAAGTTTTACTTATTTCGATATGCAACACCATCAAACCCTTTTCCTATTTTGATTGGTTCGCAGTGTGCCTCGACCAAGGAACTTGCCCCTTGGTGTAGTGAGTTACTTAGCGGAGTCCTGCATAGGGCTGGAAAATTAAAATTTTTCATCCAAGTTTTTGAAGGTGTGAGTTCCCTATGCAGGACTTGGCCGAGCTCAAAACTTGAAGTTTCGAATCGGTATCACCAAATTTTTTTTTAAAAACAAGACTTTAATTTAAAAGGTTCCAAATTATAAATATTTTTAAAAATAGAAATACAAATAGAATTGTATACAATGAAACCATTTACTTTTAGAATATGGATATCACAATTACTTACAACCATTAGATATGAAATCTGATAGTTTGGTGTGTCACAAAGTTCGAAAAAAAAAAAAAAATTGATCAATAAAATAAATACAGCCTCCCAATTTCACATCAAAAAATCAAGATTTATTTTGACCACGACATGCTAACAAACTATAAAAATGAAAGTGAAAATTTTTAATTCCACAGCTATCGTAAGATTTTTATTTTTTTGAAGAATTCACACATTTTAAATGGACTCTTTGTCTTAGCTAAGTCACACGTCACAATGTAAAGTATTTACATGAAGAAATCCATCGTACCTTTTCTTACATAAATACCTCTCAGTGGAGATCGAATCCTAGCCGTCCATTTGGCCCGCCGACTGACTGGTCTAGCCACCTCACTGGCCAGGCTGTAAGTGGGACCCACCATCATGGGCTCAACGCTGCATCGACACGCTCACCGACTTAAAATATTTGTGGTTTTTGATATTTTAGGCCACAATGACAAAAATACTCTGTGCTGTGTCGTGAATTTCGAGATGAACCTTGTTTTTCTTACAAATCGGTGGGATATTTTTGCACTCAAGTAATTAAGCCGGAAAAAAAAAACACTAATTCCAGTGGCCAATTTTTCCCGATTTACCACAAAATGTTAACAAATTTTCCATGTTTAAATATTTATTAGCTAAATCATTTCGAAGTGTTTTTCTATGATTTAAATGAAATATTAAATCATTGAAAAATGATCATAGAAGACCCTCATCTATTTATGTGTGTAGGACCTCATAAGATCACCATTAAATTTGGTACAGATCTATAAAAAAAATCAAGTCATAAACTCATATGATAACTTTTTTAGAGATCCGTATCAATTTAATGGTAAACCTTTAGGATCCTACACACATGAATGGAGAAAAGCCCTATAGGATCATTACTCTAAATCATTTAAATTTGGGGTCCTCATCTAAGGGTGGTTGGAAATGGTTAAAAGTTATACTGTATAGATACGATACGTGATGGCGATTGGTATGGATGTAAATGTTAAAGACTCTAATATCAAAATTGATATTTTAGATACAATATATTTATTATTTAAATTAAAAAAATGTGGATTTTTAAATGACATCATGTACTTTTATAATGAGAGTTTGAGAAAAAATATTATGCAAAAGTCTTTAGAGACTTCTAAACTGCCTGTAGGGCAGATGTGTCACATGTATAAAATCAAGGCACATGTGTCCATTTTGTATAGGTTAGAAGGGGTTAAATATGATACCAAATGTAATGTTATGTTTTATTTTGTAATTATAGGATAAATACAGCTTAAATGAGAATATTGAGATGGATGAATAGCAAGATAAAAATAGATATAATTCAAAATGAATACATTTGAAAGTGATAAGATGAGAGAAAATAAATTTAGGTGGACTAATTACGTGCATCGCGAACCCAATACAACACCTGTTGGATGTGCGAGTGGGTTCAAGTGGAAAGTTAAAAAAGAGCACGGAATAAGCCCAAAAGGGCATGGTTGTAAGCAGTAAGAAGAGATATATGGACTTATAATCTCACTGAGGGTATGATAAAGAAAAATGACGGACTAGAATTCATGATTCCGACCCCAGATAGTTAGTAAAAAACTCTGATGATAATAATGATAATGATGAATGTTATTTTTTAGATGGTGGGGATCACCATTTCAATTGCTCGAGGGAAGAATGGAGCAACTCCGCCTTTGTCATGGAGAGTAAAGGTAAAAACTTGACCTCTCCACTCACCTGTAGAATGCATGTAATATGTTACACGGCACATTTAGCATTCAATAAAAGTAAGAGGGACCTGATCAATCCAGAAAGACACACGGTATACCTTTCCACATGAAATTCTTCATTTGGAGTAAAATTATTTGTCTAAGATACGGGCTCGAGTGAATTAGGAATCAATAAAATTATTTGTCTAAGATACGGGCTCGAGTGAGTTGGGAATCAACAGGCTCTTGTGTCACCTAGTTCGAAAAAGCATTTTTCAATATTTCATTTAAAATCAGGACTACTCAGGATAAGTCTTGCGATCTTGCTTCATGAGTCACCAAGGCGCTGAGCAGACAGGACTCCACTAAGTTTGTAAATATCTAAAAAGTAGATTAGAGGGGTATGATCACCCTCTTAGAGCTCAAGCGACAACACACATTCAAACTTAGAGTTCCCCCAAAAGGCGAGAAAAAATATATATTTCATTGAAATTTATTCCGTCAAATTAGAGGATCAATTTCCATCCAAACATGCTCTCCTAAATGTTCATTTAGTCAAATTAATAAATTTTAATATGGACACATGGTTTTTCTTCATGCGTCGCCATATTAAAGACATGACACCTAAGTACGATATTTATAAAATTTCGGCATTTCTTCTAACTTCTCTTGTTGAAATCTCACAATTAAAACATTAATTGTTTCTTAAATCTCACAATTAAAAACATTAATTGTTTCTTGAAATCCCACTTCTCCTTATTACAGCCACATGTACATCCTACTTTACAATTGATTTTTTAAAACGGATGGGTTTGTATAGAGCTTACGCTCTAAACAATCAAATTAGAGCCTACCTTCAAATAGTATCGAGGAATGTAGTTTTACTATTGAAAATCTTTGTGATAGCCTTAAAATATATTTTTATATTTATTTATAAAGTTCAAAGCTTCAAACATAGGGTAGATCAACATATCTATAAAAACTTGAAAATCTTGAAAATTGACGGTCTAAAATGCATTACATCTTTTTTTTATTTTCAAAAAAATAATTGGTCATCTCGACATCGGAAAAGGATGTTTTAATATTCAGAATTTTCATATGTTTATAGATCTACTTGATTTTAACCATTTTTGGAGTTTAAAACTTTATAATTGATATGAAAATAGATTTTGAGATAATCTTAAGAATTGTTTATACTAAAATTACATGTTTTGATAAATTTTGGAGGTGCGTTCTAATTAGATTGTTTAAGGTTGCAACATTAGATAAACCATACCATTGATCTTTAGATGTGAAATTGGATGGTTTGGTATAAAAAATTGTTTTTTTTTAAAAACTTTACATCTATTTAATAACATTCTTATAACCACTCATTTTGAAATTAACAAAACAAGAATAATTATACAATTTCTTTGCGTACTATCCTTATAAAAATTGAAAGGATAATAGTCCCTCGATTAAAAATAGGGAAAGTTTCCCATAGAAGGATAATGTGGATATTCCTGGAAGAACAAGGTGCAATTGGCATAAGAAGGCTTTGGATGGATGATATATCGCCACCAATCATTAACCCACAAATATCTCCCGCCCTATTTTCTACAAAAACGACATAGAGAGAGAGAGAGAGATAGAGTCAACAATGAGAGAGAGGGGGCATCAATGATAAGAGATACAGAGTGTTAGAGAGAGAGAGAGAGGGGCATCAATGGTAAGAGATACAGAGTGTTAGAGAGAGAGAGGGGCATCAATGGTAAGGGATACAGAGTGTTAGAGAGAGAGAGGGGGCATCAATGGTAAGAGATACAGAGTGTTAGAGAGAGAGAGAGGGGGCATCAATTGTAAGAGATACAGAGTGTTAGAGAGAGAGAGAGCATTAATAGGAGATACGGAGAGAGAAAGGGCATATCAATAAGAGATAGAATTACGATTGAGGATGAGAGAGAGAGTATAGAGAGGATGAGAGAGAAAATTCGTTTCTGTTGATTCTCGTTAATGGCTTACATGCATTCTGACTAGTGACCTATTTCCCAGTCCAGAGCGAGAGATTTCATTTCGTTGCAGAGAGAAAGAGTTCTACATGCACTTCTTCTCTCTAATGGCCGGTTTCCTTGTGTAATAACTACGTGCTCCGAAGTCGGAGAAAGAAGAAATGCAAATTCGCTAAAAAATGCCGGAGGAAGTCGTTTGTGCACTGCTGAAAAATCGTGAATTTTTTTTGCCGGAAGTTTGCCAGAAAACAAAGGTAAGAGTTTTCTTCCCCGGAATTTAGCTGGGATTGGTGTTTGAAAAAAAAGAAAAGGGGCACCTGGCATATTGGGATTCCGCTGGAAGTGTCATCGATCTCGATCAATTTGAAATCCATGCTTCAAATGCCAAGCTTACTGAACGATTTGAATCGGCCAAGTAGAGAGAGAAGAAGAGTCTGAATCGTGCTGTTTATATCGAAAAACAGGGCAAAAGAATGAGGGATTTATCCTGAATATCTCTCTACATTTTCTCTGAGTCCATTCCACTCTCTTTTTTCTTCTTCTTATTTTTCCTTTGTTGCTGGACAAGAGTTACAGCTTCTCGAGTTCCGAAAAGGTGCCGGAAAACGAAGACCTGGCAGCTCCCAAAAAACCGTGAACTAGTCCAGAGAAGAAGTGAGCGAATATTCTGGGAAGTATTTAGCCCCAAAGCAAGCATCCGGGACAGCATTTGGCCAGAAAGGTAGGCTTCTGGTGATGATTTGATCAGAAAGTGCAGTTTTCAGCGAGAAATTAGCGGAAAAGTGAGCATCCAGCAAGGAATTGGCTGGAAAGTGAGAATTCCAGAGAGAAGTTGGCCGGAATTGATTGAGTGGAATGAGATGAAGATTCAGTGTGATGTTTGCGAGAAGGCGGAGGCAGCGGTGCTGTGCTGCGCGGATGAGGCCGCTCTGTGCTGGAGCTGCGACGAGACCGTGCACGCCGCCAACAAACTTGCATCGAAGCACCAGAGAGTGCCATTGCTCCTCAATTCATCGCACCATGCCAATCCTAAATGTGACATTTGCCAGGTCTCTACTCCCTACTTTCTTTTCATTTTCCTTCTCTCTCCTCTTTCTCATCTATCAATTCGCTTTTACTTAAACTTCAATTAAGTAATACAAGTTGATTTGTTTATCTTAAAAAAATTACGATAAAAGTCGGTCAATACGATTTTATTTTATTTTTTTACCAAAATTATTTTTCCCGTATAAAGATGCCATCTTCGTACCTTTTTTTTATTTTTTTTTCTTTTTTTATTTTTTTTATTTGAAAACTTGAAAGTTGCAATTTGAGTATAGCATTTTTGTACCGTTTGTTTTTTTTCTCTCAACGCTCAAGTTGAGGTCCAAGGTTGAAATCTTCGGACCGAAACTCAAGCTTTGATAAAAAAAAAAACAGTTCGAGATTGTCATCCCGTGAGGCTTTAATTTTTTTTTTTAAAAAAAAAAAAAAAAAAAAGCCATTCAAAGATGCCATCTTCGAACCTTTTTTTTTTTTTTTCAAAACCTAAATTTACGTTCCAATGATGGCATTTTTGGATCGAAACTTAAATTTTGAAAAAGAAAAGCGGTATGGGGATGGCATCTTTAGACCACTTTTTTAAGTCCGAAGATGGCATTCTCGGATTGAAACTTAAGTTTTGCAAAAGAAAAGCGGTCAGAGAATGCATCTTCAGACATCAATATAAGTTTTGACCCAAAAAAAACAATCCGAAGATGACATCTTTGAACCGAGGGGTAATTCTCTTAAAAGAAAAAGAAAAAAAGATTACGTTGACCAATGTTGATTATAATTTTTGGGTATAATGGGAGTAAGTCATATTTTTTTAATTTATTTAAAGTCAGTACGTAATTAACTTTATTTTTAAATATAGAGATAATGAATATGAAAAACAAGATAAAATTAAAAACTAGAAATAATAATTATATATAAAAAAAATTTGAACCGTTAATGTTTTTAAATGGAACACCCATTTGCATCCTTTTTAAGATGGATGCTTTATACTGGCATGAAACAATTTTCCTTTTTGACAATAGAAGAGGTAGACAGAGACTTAATAACATTTTTGGTAACGAGTATTTTTTTCGTAATATGTCTTCCTCTCTCTTTCTATTCCTTCTTATACATTATTTTTGTTTCTTATACGTTTTAAAACCCACTGGTTGTCAATCCCGATCGCCTTCGGGTGGAAATAGGTCGGGACTCGGGACTTAATCGGTTCTATTTTATTTTATTTGTTTTGAATCGCTTATTCAAACCAACCTAGACCAGATCTTAATAATTGATCCAACAACTTGCAATATCAGTGAATGATCCACTCCAACGATCTGACGGGTGGTAGTGTATCATCTCTCTTTTCCTTTCAAGTGATCTTTCATTTTTTTAGAAAATTATTGGAGATGTTTTATTTTTCAAAAATTTAAAATACCATATTTTCTTCAAAAGTAAACAATACCCTCTTTTAATATTTTTTAATACCCAAAATGGCTCTTTAGAAAAGATTAAAATAAGGTCTAAGCTTTTATTAAAATTAAAAAAAATTAAAAAGAAAAAACAGAAGAGTAAAGCATCACCTCAAGACTCACATTTTGGTGTCAGAACAACCTTCAAATTGATAATCTTGACCTTGGTTGTAAAATACTAAGATTTAAGCCCTAAAAATAATATATAGTTTAAAATATTATCTAGACCGTTTATATGTGCATAAGATCTATACCACTTTTTGCCATTATATAGATTTCCGCCTTGAAGTGATTTCCAGACGAAGTTTTAGCCATCATAGAGATTTCCCCTCACACCCTTCTATTTTCTCTCTCTACTCGACCCTAACACATTTCTCCATAATTCCCCCCCTCTTTCCCCTGACTCTGCTGCATATCTCTCTCACTTAACCCCGCAACAAATCCATCTTTATAATTCTAGAACGACTCTCTCTCTCATAATTTTCTCTCTTGTATTTTAGCAGGAGAAATCAGGCTTCTTCTTTTGCTTAGAGGACCGAGCTCTGTTATGTCGACAATGCGACGTCTCAATACACACACATAGCCCTTACGTCTCCTCCCATCAAAGGTTTCTACTCACTGGTGTCAAAGTTGGGCTTAACCACCACACTTCCCCTACTCCTCAGGATTCAAAGAATGAGAATCTCCCGAATTCTGCACTTCCCAGAGACCAAGCGGCCGGAGTCCGGCCACAGTGGCCCCTTGATGAGATATTCAGCTTCCCGGATTTTGATCATTTAGATACGCTCTCAGACTGTGGGTCTTCACAGATTAGTACTCGGGCGAACAACCACCACCACCAAAACCATCCTTTCTTGCATCACCAGCAGAATTAGTCTCTCTCTCTCCATATGCTCCCTTCGTTTGATTTCTCTACTATTTTTTTTTGCAGAACATGGGAGCCTTTACTTGGCTTCTCACTCCATGCACATGAAATAAATAAAGAAAATGAAAATCTGAAAAACCAAAAATATTGCAAAAGGAAAAACAAAATCTTATAGAGTTTCTTGGTCTTTTGCCCTATTAACTTTTGTTGCTACAGTGGAATAATATATAAATATTTCTTTCCTGCCACCTCTCTCAGCATGTGAATTTTGAGCAAAATAGGTCACACAGCACAGCTAAGAGAGAGTTAGAGCGCTGAGAGAGAGAGAGAGAGAGAGAGAGAGAGCAACTCATCTTTGTCATCTTTGTGGAATTAAATGCACAGAGTTGAAAAATCTTACAGGGGGGTTGTCATAAAAACTCAAAAAGTTCATCCCAATCCTTTTACATAGCAATCACCACAATCTAGAGTCAAAAGCTTCGTCTCACAGGCCGCTTTATTATAAGGAATGCAAACAACTGCCCATTCCATTGCCGAAGAACTCGATGAAGTTCAGCTGCAACTAAAAACCCTTATACCTACCCACAATGCAAGCGGGGAAGAATCAACCCACAATGCAAGTGGGGAAGAATCAGAATGAAACAATTCTTCCTTCAGAACCGTGCAACCAGGAGTGATCATAAAACTGCTGCTACCATATCTCCCCCCTTCCCTCTCTCTTCAGTTTTAGCTTCCGAGTACAATTTCTTTGAAGTTCTGTATGCGTTCTAGGGCCTGCTTGAATTCATTTTCTTCAAGGGCCATGGTGAATCGGCAATGAGCCGGGATCCCTGTCCATGAAGCACTGTTGATAGAGAGGCCAGTAGTTTTGAGGATGGCCTCTCTGATGTTTGATTCAGTGAGACAGGTCTCTTCATGAAACTTGTTCAGCATTAGAGGCTTCCCAATATAGGCTGAAGGCTTTGCCACCATTGACACACCCCCATGACAATCCACCACATCCCATCCACACCTTTCTAGTGTCTGCAACAATTTACAAAGGTTTCATAGTGTCACACAAGAGAGAGAGAGAGAGAGAGAGAGAGAGAGAGAGAGAGAAGTACTAATTTATTAGATACGTGTACATAGAAAATACGAGATACAATAAAGCACGTACTTAAAACTACACTGGCACAGCTTAGGACTCACTCGAGTTGGCTCGAC